TGAACGCGCCCTTGTTACATAGTGTGGGCTTACCCCTGGGTTGCGGGCTGGGCTCTCTATGTGGTGCAAATTGCCCCCCTTTGGTGACGTAGGATGGGCCCCCCTTGTGGTGTGGGGCCCCCCCCCCATTGTAGGGGGCAGTGGGGACTGGGGGGTGGGCCTTCCCGTGAGCCCCTCCCTTCTCCCCTCCCTTCCCTTTGTCACGGGGGCGTGGTCCCCCTGGTTCCGTCTCGATCTGCCGCAAAGCGGTGGCGAGGCGGCCCGTGGAACTGCTCCAGGGCGCACTGTCAATCTTGTGGGCTGCCTCCGCCCCCGGGCCGTTGCCCCTGGCAACTCGCCGGCGTCGCAGGCAACTGGTGACGTCACGCCCGCCGGCGACGTCACGCCCGCCCGCGACGTCACGCCCGCCCGCGAAACCACGCCCGCCCGCGACGTCACGCCCGCCCGCGACGTCACGCCCGGCCGCGAAACCACGCCCGCCCGCGACGTCACCTCCGCCCGCGACGTCACCTCCGCCCGCGACGTCACGTCCGCCCGCGACGTCACCTCCGCCCGCGACGTCACGTCCGCCCGCGACGTCACCTCCGCCCGCGACGTCACGTTCGCCTGCGACGTCCCTCCCGGCCTCGGCGCGACTCCCGACGCGGTCTCCGGCCCCGGCGCGACTCCCGACGCGGTCTCCGGCCTCGGCGCGATCCCCGACGTGGTCCACGGCCCCGGCGCAATTCCCGGCGTGATCCGCGACACCACTTTTGGCCGCGACGTCACTCCCGGATGCAACGTCACGTCCGTTCGCGACGCCACTCCGGGTCGCGACGCCACTTCTGGTCGCGACGCAATCCCAGGCCCCGGCGCTATCCCCGGCGCGATCCCCTTCCCCCGACCCGGACAATGGGGACCGGGGAACGACACCGACGGCGCCCACCCCGAGGAGACTCCCGGTAAGTTCGCGGCATCGGAATTATAATTGCTCGGCCCGACCGAGAGGCCGGGCGGGACGGCGTCACTCGCCTGGATCCTGTCGGCGTTCGGCCCCGGCGGGTTCCGGGTGACGTTGGCGGCCTCCGGCTCCGTGCGGCACCCCCTCGCCACATGCCCCTCTCGACCACAACGGTGGCAGACCCACGGGGCGTTCCGTCGGGGGGGCTCGGCGCGATGTTGTAGAGGCGGCTGCCAGCGACGCGGCGGCTGGTCGCGCCCCTGGTCCCTCTGCTCCGCCAGTCCCCGGATCGCCGCGTACACCTCCCGCAGCGATGGCTCCGTCTCAGACGTCGGGGGTCCGTCCCCAGCTGCTCCACAGGCAGCCTGTGGCGACGGTGCAGGTTCGGCGGTTGGTGTCGCTGGACCCAGTAGCGCCGCGGCAACGGCTCGGCTGTTCCCCCCCGCCGCGCCAGCCACCGGGCCCACGGGTGGCGCCCGGCCCATGACCTGCTCGTGGGCTTGGATGGTCCGGGCAGCCCACAGCGAGGTGCGTTCCCCCGGCGTCACCACGGGCATTACAACGCCAGGGCGGCAAGCGTAGGCGATGAGGTGCTCGACCACGAGGTCCTCGAGCGCTTCTTCAGCCAGGCGAGGGAAAGCTCTCCTCGCCAACACGAGCAGTGCACCCCTGTAGGCTAAAGGGGATTCTTTAGCCCCTCGCTGGCGATCCTGGAACCGTTTAAAGGCTCCTTCCGCCGGGCAATAGATCTCCCCCAAAGCCTCGTAGGCCGCCTGTAGCGTGGTCTTGCTGTGCGAGGGAAGGGAGGTGTAAGAGGCCAGTGCTTCCTTGCCCAGAACGGATGGCAGCGCTCGTAGTGCCTCTTCGTCTGTCCACTCGAGAGCGTGGAAGGCAGCCTCGAATCGGCGGACAAACTCCTCCCAGTCTTCTTCCTCAGCCACGAACTTGTCGACGGGCCCCAGCCGACGCGGCCGTCCGGCCACCTGCTCTCCGTGTTGGGTGGTTAGCCCTGGGGGTTTTGGCGGGACCGGCGGCGGCTGGCGTGACGAGGTTGGTTGCGGCTCTTGCCCGGCCGGCTGGTCGGCCTCCGGGTCCCGTGGCCTCTCCTCCCGTAGTACGCGTGGGGGTGGGGGTCCCGGTGCTGGCGGGCCCCCCATAGGGAGCCTCTGTAGGAGCTCCTGGAGTGCCCTCTCCACGCGGGCCATGCGGTCCTCCATGGGGTCCTCCAGGCGATCCGGGCCCCCTGCTGCTGCTTCTGATAGCAGGCCCCCTTGTTGCCCGGGATGGGAAGGATCCCCGGCCCCTGCTTCCTCCTCCCTTGGCTCTTTCCCGCGGGGATTTTTCTTTGTAGCCATGAGATCCCACCGCTGCCACCAGATGTAAAGTAGGAGCCGACACCAGATTGCAGGGGTCTCGTCCTTTATTCCTTTCCTTCCATCCACACCTGTCCCCAGCCGTCCCAATCTCGTTCCCGCCAAAGGCCCCTTCTTCCCGCCCGTTCTCTCCTTATATCTCTTCGATCACCCCTCCCACTAACCCATCTATTGGTGGGAATCCTTCCCCTGACACCCCTACAAAATGTAACACTCAGCACACATGATGAACCACGCAGGCGCCTGGCATTTGTGTTGTTTGAAGGGTAGATGTTAGTGTGTGGAGGGAACAGTAAGGGCCATGCCGGACCGCTGGTTCACATATCACTCGCCACTGTTGTTAGCGGCGGTGCGGAATCGAACCAGGATTTCAGGAGGGATGCGAGATGGAGCGCGACTTCCTGTCCTTAACGTTTGCAAATATTTAGCAATGCCGCCTACCTCTCCCGGACCCACCCATTACAGTGACACCACAAGGCCCCTCACCCCCGATACCACGAAACACGCAGGCACAGCACAGCTGGTAAACAAACAGCTGCGGGCTGCCGTGTGCTCCATGCCACCATGGGGTGCATTCAATACATCGGTCTCTGCTCGCAAAGCAAACGTTTTGCTCGTTTTGTGAACTAATTGATCTAAATCAAATTGCTTGTCATAGCAAATAAAAATAAATAGTGTACTTTAGATGCAAGAATGTATCAAATAGAGAAAATACATTGAACATACTTTAGAATGTTACGTAATATAACATGTCTAGTGACATCAGGGATGTCACTGAATGGTGCCGGCCCGGAAGGGCCGTGGTGTGCGATGTACTTACGTCACGGACAGCACCGGGTGGGTTGCTGTGTGATGCCGGCTCTCGCACAGCATGGCGTGCGATTCACCGTCATCGCGTACACCCTGTAGGTGGGTGTAGTACCAGCCCTAGCGGGGCTTGGTGAGCACTGGGATAGCGCGAGCACCACGCATAGCGTGAAGTGCGGGCTCACACAATAGGGAGCGGGAGAGTGTCAGCCCAGGGACAGGGTTGCCTCGGGCCATGGCACTCTGGTTGATCCCGTAGACACGTGATCTGGAGTGTCCACAGAGAAGGCCCCAGGTGGGGGGGCTAGGGGGTGATCACGTGTCCAGGGAGAGCTCTTGAGAGGGAGCTAGAACACTCGCGAAGGTGGGCGGGGCCGAGGGAGGAGCCAGCCCCGACCCGGGAGGATATAAGGTGGGTCCCTGAGAGGGACTGGGGTCACTTCGTTCTACACACTGGAAGATCTACGTCCTACGTCTGAAGAGGCATCAACACTTGGCCGGGGACCCGAGTAAGAGTCCGACCGTTCGTAGCTGTAAGTATAGTGTAGTTAGCTGGGTGGTCACCACCCCAGGCTGTATCTGGTAAAGGGGCAGTTAACCCTTTGTATATGCGTGTTACAATAAATGTGTTGCCTCTGAAGAATAACGTCTGCGACTCAGTTGGACTCACTACACATGTTTAATAAAATGCACAAGATTGCATTAAATTGTGTATAATGAGTAAAAATGTGGTTAACCGGTATGAAATGTAGTTAGGGAAATACGTTAGTGGTGGGGGGTGTCATGGTGGAGGCATGGCAGCTGTTAATGTTGCAGAGACCTCCACACTTGTGATAATTTACATGAATATTGTCTAGCCTAAACAGCCGTTATACCACATAAACAATGGAAAATGCCTTTGGTAAACTGTCTTCAGGGGCGTTTGAGGTTCCTGACAAATTTAGTAGAGTTGACATTAGCATGGTCAAACTTTTTCAAATTTTCCCTAACTTTTCTTCGCTAAAGTGGCCTAAATACATTTGTGATGCAAGCTGTAAAATGTAACATTACACCAACACAGGAATCCAGCCTTGCGTCTCCATTGCATTACTTTTATTTTATATTGTGTCATCTGGGATGTCAATTCATACAACGTAGAATGGAGCTTCATATAGTTATAATTTGTTGATTAACCAAGCTAATCACGTACATTTATGTCACACTTATACATGTGACAGTTCATTTGTTTGGCTCTGTCGGGTTGTGGAAGGTTTTTAATGGTACAAATTTGGTCAGATAGTTATATAGCCTCAAAACAATGTCTAGTATGAATCACATTGTAACGTTTGTAGCAATGTTAAAACTGTAATTTGAGTGTCTAAATGCAACTGCATCTCAAGACGCTCTACACAACAGAGGGACGCCCACTGCAGGGGAAAAATGGAGGCGTATACATTTCCTGTCATTGGAAAATAATTCATTGAATCTGGAATTGAGCAGGGACAGGAAAGTCCGGCACAGGTGTCTGAGGGAAGGAGGTACCAGACCTCAGGAGGAGGAGAGGAGAGAGACTGACCTCCCCTTAAGTCAAGGTTCACCGGGGCCTGTGGTCTAAAGGCCTCTGGAGCCTGCACGTGGTGGGGAGTCGAATGAAATTAGAAGGAGCGCATACTTTTCGTGTTATGTTGACAGCATCTATACATCATTTACGTTTTGTTGTAAAGCTGACATTCATTGAGGCATTGTCATTTATTAAAATTGTGTATTCATAATGCATTTGTCTTGGCTAAACTGATGCGGACACCATAAATCGCATTCACTTAGATATTACATTTGGCCAAAGACACGAAACGATAGAGCGGTGATGAGTACTTGTGTATTGAAATAGTCTGTTGTGCCAGGGACTTGTGGGCGAGCCGGGAATTCCAGGGGAGAAAGGAAACGCAGGAACGGCGGGGATGACGGTAATCACTTACATCTTGCAAATCCGTGCTTGTTCGGATGCTTTTGCTTGTTTTTTTTTGTGCGGATAAACAATGCAATGCAACAGCTTGGTTTTCATATACGCATTGATCATTGTGTTTTCATGCAATGAAAATAGTATGCCAAGAGTGTTGTGTACAGTACATTCATAACTCGTTTGACGTAATCTGTAAATAACCCTTTGTGCTGCAGGGGGAGCGAGGCTCTAACAGCATCGTGCCAGGCGTGGAAGGGGAGAGAGGCCACCCAGGAAATATGGTGAGCCTCGATTTAATATATATACATGTCTTTATAAATTACATTATATCTCTGATTATTCGAACCAAAACATATCACTGCCTGAGTGAGTAAAACAAGTGATACGTTAATGAAATATAGTGATGAACCACTCAAGAATACATTTTTCAATTTGTGGATATAATAATGAATGATTATATATATAGCATAAATAAAAAATTACGGAGTGTGTAACAGACACAGCTTTTGCACATAGGTGTGGTAAACCACCACCAGAACCAGTGCAAGCAATTGTCCAAGATCTGTGGCCCTATTTTGGAATGTTTGGCCAACTCCATTAATGAGTGATTATACACGTGGGAGGAAACCGGAGTACCAGGACATTTATAATTCATCCCCGTACAGATGGAATACAGATGCAAATGAATCCACTTGCTGTACTACCTTAGCCTCGAATTTGTGTGATGCAAATTTGCCATTCAGTTAAACAAAATTTAATTGTGACCCTTAATTGACACAATTGAATTGTGAACGTGAATCATTACACCACGAATGATAGTTATCTTGTTAGAGCGTAGATAAAATAACACGTGATTGTACTTGCGCACTACTTGGAGCGAGTGTGTATGTGGCAACATCTCTGATGCTTCGTTTGTATTCTTAGGGCCTGCCTGGGACCGATGGGCTGCCTGCTGACCCTGGGCTACCGGGGCCTGACGTGAGTCGCTCAGTTTGTGTGCATCACAACACAAAAGTCGCTTCAATATCACCTCAGCGCAGTCATTGTCCATTCAGGTGTAAAATATGTGACATACAGAATCAGAGCATGGACATGTGTTTCATTCATAATAAGGGTTTTTTGGGTTAGATCGCATTAATATAAATGTGTCGCTAACCCACCACCACCTGGCATGACTAATCATTAAGGTGTGTAACTTAAACATAAGGTACCAATTAGCTATTTCTTTAGCAAATCGGTGTGATGGCGAGTAAACACACAACATTTACAATTGAGTATGCCGTTTTGCTGGTGATTGCAAACAGCCGGCAAATCGCCTGATGAAGCTGGTGGTAATCACCAGCGAAACGTCGTAGTCATGGCACATTAACGTAATATACATTAACGTTGAAAGAGAGATAACATCATCACTTTGCATCGTCGAATAAAATGTCACATTGTTGATGTCTGTCCACGAAGGTCAGTGGAGGTCTCTGATTGCTGCACGTGGCCACTGAAAATACAGTCTCATGCCTTGGTGATTTCTGTACATTTCGTCTGACGATACCATAGGCCAAAGGCTTAACTGTAAGGAAATTATTTTCCTGTTTGTTTGCTTAACCTACAGTCCTTATACAAATATAGTATATATAAGCAACAACAAAAGACCTGAAGTTCAACGACAAGCATCTTGTCGTTAGTGTATAAGAGTGGGACCGGATCTAGGATGTTTGAATCCACATGTGTATTTGTATTCTCAAAACCTAGCTGTCGATATTTATATCAATGAAGTGTATTTGAAAACCCTGGACTGAAAGAGGATCTAAACTCTAATACACCCTTTGTTTCATTACTTTTCACACATAGTGCCTTTTCTCCTTGATTTCTCAGCCCCCTCTAACATACGTGTTGGAAAGGGGCCGCTTTTGTGATGTTTTGGCCAAAATATGCGAGTGTCTTTGGAGTGACTCCATTACCGCAGTGACTCCGATTGCCAAGGGGGGTGCGTCTCAGCTGTTTAAACAATTCGTGAATCTGGCCCTTGTCCGTGTATATCTTTATTTATAAATGTATTGAAGAATAACTTGTTGGTCAAGCAACAGTTAAATATAATTGCACCAAACAATTTAGGAAGATGCAAATACTTTGAATGTACTGTAAGCTCCTCATGAATAGTGTACCATGTTAAGAGACTAGAGATGACACACGGGTGTATATTTTCAAGCTTTTTTTTACATCGCAATAGAAATGTGGCAGCATGCAGTGCGCCAATACTTATGGATAAGTGCGCTGCCATTTTGAAGTTGCGTTGTCATGCCGTGTTTGGTCTGTTTGATTTGTTCTGAAAAGTGATAGACGTTGGTGTCTTTTAAAAGTGTATAACTCCACCTGCATTTACTTCTCGTTCACATGTAGGGTGCAAAGGGCTGGCGGGGACCGTCTGGACTCAAAGTGCGTTTGGGTTTAAGACATCCACTGTACTGACATGTAAACAGGAACATTCACAACTAATGTGTTCGGCGATCAGTTTGTGCTCAGTGCACGTGACACATGAGTACTTCCCCACATCCTGGTAAGAAGCCTTCACACAAAACTTGCACAAGATGGTGGCACAGCCGAGCGATGGCGCGCTCGCCGCTCATTGCAGGGGTTCGCGGATTCGAATCCAGTAGACCGCCTCTGGTTATTACTGTGGTGGTGTATATTGTCCATACAATACTGCATACTGTCTGATTCTCAGCAGACGTTAAAGACCCTTTGACATCATTGGATACCCCCCCCCCCTTACTTTACAACTAGTTATGAAACAATTTATTTACAGATGAATCAAATTGTACAGAATGCGTAATATAGTCTAATGAAACCAATCCACTCCTGAATGTAACACATCATACAGCATAAGTTGTGGTATATCGTGCAGAACAGCTAGAGGAATAACCCTATCTCTCATTAAACATTTGATACGAATAATGGATTTGTAGACATCTTGAATTAATTTAAGTAAGATTTGATCCGTGCTACAGTAATGCAATTATGCCTTCTGTTATGTCCTACGAATCTTGCGCGTGTAAAAATTTAATATAATTTATATTAATTTAAAATACCTTCGCTCATGGTGCTTGACGGGGGCTTACAAAGATTCGGTGCGGTTATGATTTCGCTTTCTGATTGTGTGGGCGCAGGGTGAAAAGGGTGCTCCGGGAGGAGGCGGAACCAGAGGACTCGTGGGCTATCCTGGAAGTGCAGTAAGAGGCACACTGATGGGAATTTGTACTGCAGTAACGGTGGTTAACAAAACGTTCCCAGCGTACTACCCGAAACATAAGTACATTTTACAGCAGCTAATTGCAGAGGTTTCCATATATCTGTCGGGATAATTAAGTTGCTGCACTGCCAATCGTGTGGTGTACAATGGTACCAATGTGCGCCATGCGTATAAATGTGTGTATTACCTCATTAACATGTCACGTGACCAATTACAGGTTTCCGGTCGCTCAATGCGGTGGTAGAAGATGCGTTCCAAAAAAATGGGAACAACAAAGCGAAACCGCATGACGAGACAGCTGCCTGCCAAGTGGCGCTTTCAGTACACACAGTAGACACAGTACACACACAGTACACATACAGTACACACAGTACATACACAGTACACACACAGTACACATGCACAATGTTGTTCCTCGTCCCACCGCATAGCCGCATGTAGAGTAAATTCAAACCGCATGGTAGAGAACATTTTTTGGGTAAAAAAGGTGAGCCACATATACAGCGCGAGCTCGCACAAACCGAACCCACATAGAGCAGAGGAAAACCTGTACGCCTATATAAGGGCTCCTTCTAAAGGGGGCCCAGGACAATGAATACCTCTTCGAGGCCATGGTCACCTCTACCTGTAGCTCTGTGTGCTGCACCAGTATATGTTTGCCTTGCCGTGATTGTTAAACGACCATGTAGGCTTTACCAGAATGTGTGCGTGCTTCTGTGTTTACGCACGTCACACAACAAATTGCTAGACAGCTGATAGGGCAGTGAGAGGCCTACAACGGGCCATGTTCCAGGTTTCTCAGGGTCCCAACCGCATGTGCAGTTATTCATACACGTTTAAGTGTGCACATACTCTCTCTAAACACGGTAATGTGCACAGACTCGCAACATGTATACTTGCGCCCAATCCATATCCTATACTGGAAGTTGAACTTATTTCACACCGTATGTAGCCAACCATGCTAACCGGAGGTGCAACAAGTGTGCCTTACACTCTCGTTTTATCCCAGGCCTTCCCTCCTTGCAAGCGTGATTAAACCTTAAGCCGTAAAGGGGCTAATGAATCTGGCCTTTTCATCACAGACATGGAAGCTGTGTACACAGTAAAGCTGATCGCGTGAACTGTCATTACCCTTACATGTAAATGGCCATTATTGCCACAATGTCAGCATTCATGCCTGTGTCAGTTCAGTTTTGCCTCCGGTGTTGTCGGTGACTTGGTGAATGTATTTTATTCTGAGTCTGATCAATTATATTTAGCCACAGGTGAGTACTTTACACTTGGAAATAAAAAAAACACAGGAAGTATTACACAACAACTGACAATAGGGTTTACAATTCAGGCTGTGCTATATGGTTTGCATTTCAATAGAAAGTTTGGTTTTATTATGTATGTTTATGTAAAATAAAATCATGCATATGCGGTAGTTCAGATTTCAAGGTTGTATGTATGTTGAACTTATTTAGCACCGTACGTAGTCAACCATGCTAATCGGTGGTGGGGGGGGGGTCAACAAACTAAACACAACAAAGCAGTTCTAAAGAAATTAGTTTTCAATATACATTTAAAAGTGCATAGCTGCCGTGGCTTCCCAATAAAGGTTGTGTCTAAAGTCTGTAAACGTCTGCTTGGACTTCAGGGTAACAGAGGAAGCCAGGGTGACCAAGGCAGCAGAGGACCAAGTGGCATGCGTGGCTGTCATGTGAGTACGCATTTTTATTTTTTGGGTCTTTCGGTAAAGTCATGTAGATAGGTTCAAAGAAAATAACAAAAAACTACGACGTTTCGATGGCAACACAAGCGGTCGTCATCAGGAAAAGGGGTTAGCCTCATTCCTTCTTTACTCATGGCCACCTTTCCAGTGGTGATTCATAGTCATGTAAACAAAACATACATTTAACTGCTATCGGTCAAAGGCATCCCAATGATGAAAAAATTACTGCAAATTACTAAATTGGAATTACACAGCATTAATATCGCCTCCGACTATGAAACTTGTTGGTGATATGTTAACTCCTTTGCATTGTATGCAGGAGGCCATGGGTTATATTCCAACCCTGTATATTTGCAGTTTGTGTGTTCTGTCTCCCCATGGTCGTTTGTATGTTTCTCCAGGTCCTCCGGTTTTTCTCTCCACATTTGGCTGCTATGAATTTCCGCATGATAAGCCACTTCGTTGACCTATCATTTGTGGCCAGGTTGCTTCTAAGAACTACACATCTCAGTGGGCCTTACCTGGTAAAATAAATAAAAAGATTTTTTTGTTTAATAGATCCCTTATAAAAAAAGAGTCCGTGAGGCTTCCATGGGTAAACAATCGTAATAAATTTACATATATCAAATGTACTCTTTGGTTCTTTAGGTAAAGTCAGGTAGCAAAATGAAATATAATATATCACGACGTTTCGATCGCAACTCAAGCGGTCATCCTCAGGCGGAAAAAAAATAATCCAGCAGTGGAACTGTTGAACCAGGAAGAACACAGCGAGAGAGCCGTTACAACAAGAGGTTATATACGTGGTGAAGGGCAAGCAGGCGGGGTCTGAGCTGGAAATAAATTCCATTCCCGCACGCAAGTACACATATACAGTGAGGGAAACAAGTATTTGATCCCCTGCTGATTTTGTACGTTTTACCACTGACATTTTAATGGTAGGTTTATTTGAACAATGAGAGACAGAATAACAACAACAAAATACAGAAAAACGCATGTCAAAAATTGTATAAATTGATTTGCATTTCAATGAGGGAAATAAGTATTTGACCCCCTATCAATCAGAAATATTTCTGGCTCCCAGGTGTCTTTTATACAGGTAACGAGCTGAGATTAGGAGCACACTCTTAAAGGGAGTGCTCCTAATCTCAGCTTGTTACCTGTATAAAAGACACATGTTCACAGAAGCAATCAATCAATCAGATTCCAAACTCTCCACCATAGCCAAGACCAAAGAGCTCTCCAAGGATGTCAGGGACAAGATTGTATACCTACACAAGGCTGGAATGGGTTACAAGACCATCGCTAAGCAGCTTGGTGAGAAGGTGACAACAGTTGGTGCGATTATTCGCAAATGGAAGAAACACAAAAGATCTGTCAATCTCCCTCGGTCTGGGGCTCCATGCAAGTTCTCACCTCGTGGAGTTGCAATGATCATGAGAACGGTGAGGAATCAGTCCAGAACTACACAGGAGGATCTTGTCAATGATCTCAAGGCAGCTGGGACCATAGTCACCAAGACCCCGCCTGCTTGTCCTTGGCCACGTATATAACCTCTTGTTGTAACGGCTCTCGCTGTGTTCTTCCTGGTTCAACAGTTCCACTGCTGGATAATTTTTTTCTGCCTGAGGACGACCGCTTGTGTTGCGATCGAAACGTCGTGATATATTATTTTTATTTTATTTTATTTTTCTACCTATGTGACTTTACCTAAAGAACCAAAGAGTACATTTTATTATTGTTAATTTATTACGATTGTTTACCCATGGAAGCCTCCAATGTGGTGGACGAGGACCCCTCTACTGACCAGCGTCTGTAGAGTGAAGGCCAGCATGTTGCGGCCACAGTGAGCCCTGTGTTCAACAACACTGAAGAGAAAAGAAAAGCATTGCAGAGGCTGGAAAAGCACAGAAACACGGGCTGTGGGGTTAGGGTTCGTGTAACTGAGATGGCTAGAGCTAGGGGCCGGTTCACTTTTCTGTTTGGCTTACAGGAGGAGCTTTCTGACCTGCCCTGACTGCACTTCTGTGAAAAAGAGTCTCACAGCTCAAAGGATTTCTACGGGATAAATAAAGATTCTGATTTCTGAAAGATTCTGATCATGTTTGGTTGGCTAATGTTCGATGCCACAAACTGCATGCGCCCCCTTCGTCAATCCTCCATAGTTCCCACAACCCATTGCTACGTAATGGCTCTTATGTGTATATTGAGGGCTTCTTAGGTTTATTTTCAGGGCTTCCATGTGTCTGCTGTTAGAATCAGAATCTTTATTTAGACTGGAGGAGGAATCCGATGAGCTATGAAGTTCTTTTTCACAGATGTCCCGTATGGGCGGGTCAGAAAGGTACAACAGCAAATAGTACAAAAAAACGATAAGAGTGCAGAATAGAGAAAAAGGTAAGGAAGTCACTAAATATAAATAAATAAAGAATACACAAATGTATTAATAAGTCTGATTTATTACGCTTGGGCAAGGTAGCAAGAACAATAAAACAGTCCCAGACCACACCAAGGTAACACGACACAGCAGTTAACATTAATATTGAACTATGATACTACAGGGAAAGATCAAAGTTACAAATCACATGTGCAAATGTGACTGCATCCAGCACTACTCTGATACTGTTTTTGAGGCCCCCATGACAACTGTTGGCTGAGCCCCTCCTGAGAGGTCATCAACTCTGCCCTGCACCAGGGACCCCCTCTACTGCCGTAATCCATCACTGCACGAATGGCAACATTTAAGACCGAAGCAGGAGGATTTTTCCACAACTCTGGCTGTCCGCGTGATGATCCTAGTTGTAATTACTGTCTAAACGTTGTACTCAAATTGTAAATGTTGTGGGTTTACTCTCCAACACACCGGTGCGCTGTACTAGTAATGAATTGGCATTTTTTGTTTACGTGACAAACCTTACTAATTGGCTTTGTCGGGTGGTGGTGAATTTAACGACACATTTATATTTACGCGATCTAATCCTAAAACTTATATTATGGCAAAATAGTGGTTGCTGAAGCACAAACGAAGAATTCTCTAATTTAATTCTGGCAAAAGCATTCTGCATTGAACATGATCATCTGGTAGTATTTCACATGATACATATTGTTTAAAAAACGTTGCTCCAATTCATTAAGCACCTTAATACGTGGTTGTATTTAGACAATTGACACATTACAATTGTATTGCATTGTGTGCTGTTTGCTGACATAGATGCTTATTGTATTTGTAATAATTATTGTACAAATTACATAAAGATTCAAAACATGACTAGTGATGCCTGTAACTCAGCGTTTGAGAGGAAAATGTGGGTTCATCTCATTCTTGCTTTTGAAAAATCCCCGAACCAACTGATTTGAAAAGTGGCGAGGCGATGGCAGTACAAGAAGTGCATTTGTTAACCATTTGTTATTCCATCATGTACTGTACATGGGTTTCTCTGAATATTCTGGTTTATTTTCACAAGGAATAAAAAAACAGAACAGGCAAACATCCCTATGCAGAACTTTCTTGGGGGGGGGGGCGTCTTCTGACCCTTGATGCTTTCTTGGGTAAACACATGAAAACATCCTTGTTGTTACAAAACAGAATTCTCTTCCCTGACATTTTAGGGTGATCCTGGACAACAAGGCCCAATTGGTAATCCTGGTGAGCCTGGTGGTCGAGGAACCAAGGTATGTGGCACACTAGACTATCACTTGCAGCGTTAAGGCCTGCTGTATTTTAATTTGGACCATTTACAAGTAACCTTCATATGTATTTTCAATGCCTGATAAATATAAATACAGGCGTCCCTCGCGTAACGTGTACTCCCGTTGCGCGAATTCGTAGTTACGCGATTCATCTTTTAAGGACATAATTCGCACTTACGCTGTGCGTTTCACAGTTACTCGCTGTGTGTTGGTATTAAAAAAAACGTTAAATTTATTCATAAAATGTTTTTAATGATAAAAATGTAAAAGTAAAAAAAGATCTTTTTCTGATGCCTTCACCGCCATCTCCCATCCAACGAGAAAAGTTTTGCCTGTATGGGAGGGATGGACGCACAGTCATGTCTAAAGGACGTGTGAATGGCTAGTGGTGTAGTGGGTTCACAGGCGACATAGACGGTGTAGTCGAGGCACACTATTATAACTTTACATTCAGCACAGGGCAACGTATTCAACACTTGAAGGGGTAACGGCCCCTTCACCTGTACTGGACTGGGATACACCCCTAGGGCTATTGCCCAACTGGTCTGCTCCCAGGTCCTCCGCTAAGGGTGCTCGGGGAGGCTATCTGACCCGGTCCTGGTCAAGGCACAGGTCACGACACCCAGCCAGACAGACCCGGCTCTTAGAAGAACATCGGCTCTGAGGCTCTGGGGCCGCGCCACTGGCTTGCCCTGCTTGGTCTTGAGAAGGACAGCGAGTCAGAGGAGTTCCAGGGCCTATCTGCCGGTCTTCAGTCTTCACTGGTTCTTCACTCGTTAGCTTTCCAACACTGAACCATGAGCCCTCTCGCTCCCTGCCTTTTATACCAATTTGCCACCGAGGGGTGGGGCTGTGTGGGATCCCAGCATCCCCCCACAGCCCCCCAGGCTGTTAACCGTTTGCGGACGTGGATATGGACACCCTTGTGTGTTTGTCCGTTTCCCTCCCGTAACACCCCTACAGTGGTAATAATAACAATATCCCAGTGTAATGGTTGTTATGAATGTTCTTTTTGCTCTTGCCTGTCTGTACCATCAGGGAACAATTCGTTTTACGTCTGAGTGTTGAACTTATGGAAACCACTTCTGTACATTGGATTCTGTGAAGATTTACAACGTGTATGGTTAGTAAAGTGTATAATAGAAACTTGCCAGTTGATTGTTTATGGCAGCTGTGTGGTGATTTATGCAGGAAGTTTGTAAAACACCCCACCTGCAGCGAATCTCATAGACCACCATGATGTCACCCTGCTCAGATGTCTCAATTTTGACAGCTGTGAGCATCTTGCCTGAAGAGATGTAGAGCATTCACGATCGTGACGGCTTTCATCATGTTCCTTTGTGTGAGAAGCTTTAGCTGCAGTAAAACCTGTCGCATCTGTTTGGATTTGAGGGGCAATTTCCCAGCCAGCAAAATAATTGAGTCAATGGTTGGTTGTGTAGTGAGTCCAACTGAGTTGCAGACATTATCTTTGGAGCAGCACTCTTTTTTCACGTAACAATACATAACATAACACAACCTATGCTTGGGTCTCGAATGCCCATCTAACCATGCTACGGCTGAACTAGACACGGTTCGCTATCCCGGTCCGGACCACAAGCTGGGTCCCGGACCGCGTGGCTAGAGGCTTCTTCTCCCCGATGTGGATCTTTGAACACCAACACTTGAAGAACCCTGGGGCTGGCTCTGCCCTTAGCCCCGCCCACCTTCCAAGCTTCTCGAACTCCCTCTCGAATGTTCCCGAGAGCTCTTCGGGACCACGTGACCGCCCCTCGGCCCCCGTCCACCGGTGGCGTCAGCCAGAGTATCATGCCCCAGAGTAACCCTGGCTGGCTGACGCTCGCTCTCACTCCCTCACTGGGAGCCGGCACTGCACACTGCTTGCGGTGCCTCCGCGCTAACCAGCACTCACCCAACCACCGCTAGTGTTGGTACTGCAGCCCGCAACCCGGGCTGCCCGCAATGATATTACCGGCCGTGACTTCGCAAGTCCCGGCACCACACAGTGACAAGTACAGTGACTACCCCTCAGCCGTCCCGGCTGCTAACTCCCCCCAAAGCACGCAACCGACGTAAACTAACATAAGTCACTACAGTTGTATTATGCCTGTATTATTGGCCCACCAATGGCAACCAATGCTAGGCAATTGTGATATTTTTCATGGACTTGGTCTTTCCTCAGCATTTATATTTTAGTAAGAAACCTATGTCTGTGCCAAGATGAGCTCATAATTCTATCCATCATCCGGTTTTTACCAATGCCACTGCAATTACACTTACAGAATCAAATTTGTAAGAAAATAGCGTTTATTTTTTGTAGTAAAATCTAAATCCAAGGTAATTTTCCCATTTTAATTCTGCAACTTTAACAAGGGAATTTGTAGATTTTTCAAAATCCTAAATAATGAAATTGAAGAAATTATCGACTTCCGTACAGTCTTAGCCCGACCATTTACGTTTGTGAGACATCCACACTGCAGTCTTCTCCATGCAGGCTATGTAGCAGGTGCTCTGTTTAAAAATAATTGCTTGGCTTGGAAAGATTATTGAAAGGTATGGGGGCGGGGGGATTGGAAATTATGGCGGCACAGCAGTGGTTCCTAGTTTAGACGTTGGATGAACGTTGAACTTGCGCTTTGTGTAATCTTGGGCACTGCGCACACTCCGTGCGACCGCCCCAGGGTTGTGCTGGACAGAGAAATCTTGCTCACGACAAAAAAGGTGCTTAGACATTTCTAATCGATGCAAAATCATTGTTTTCTATGATTGACTGCATTTCATTATATTTATTACCTATGGAACATGTGTAATAGTAACCTCCTCCTGTTAATAACTCTGTCTACACCATTGCAGTGTAGTACAGTATCAGAGTTAAGTGTCGCATTTGTACCGCAGACACCTATATACGGTACTTTTGAATAAAGATGTCTGCTAAAAGTGGTTTTGTAACAGGGAGAACGTGGTGAACGAGGGGACAAAGGAGGCATTGGATACCCTGGGAAACAAGGATATCCCGTGAGTATTTCACCATGGGGGAGTGTAGTAGGAGCGATGGGAAGACCTGGGTGCTCCATGATGGGAATAACTAAAACATATCACCATCAATAAGAAGAGCAAAGATTCACCCTCTTCGTGATTTCACTAATCATCATTTTGGGTCACCAGTTTCAATGTGATATTTATTCGCCATGATTTTGTATGTGCAATCAATAGTGGCTACAGGAGTCTATGAACCAATGACTATACAAATATATTAATTTGACATTAATGCACCTTACGCACGTTATTGGATACGTGCATCTTGCTTTGATTAGAATCTAAATCGTCACGTTCATAAGAGTTACAACACATACCCCCTAGGATACCCTTCACTACACCCCTGTTGGCAATTCAATCCAAATTCCCACTGTCACCCAGGTTGTACCGTCTCACCATCACATGCTACTGAACCACACGGAGGCAAGCTGGCACAGTGATAACACTCGTGCCGTCCAGCCAGAAGGGCCTGGGTTCCATTTCCAACTCGGTACCTTTCTGTGTGGAATTGGTATGTTTTCCCCCTGCTCTACATGGGGCTCCTCCGGATTCTCAAATTTCCTCCAATAGCTAAACAAATGTAACTGATTTTGGCCAAAAATGTTCTGCAAATTGCTCAATTGGAATTACACAAAACATTAAAATCGCCCCTTATTGTGAAACTCGTCAGGGCTCTCCTGAAAAAGAGTCTTGAGACTCAGTGATGGTTCCCTGGGTAAACAGGCCAATAGCAACAATATAATAAAACAAAGACCCCCGTATAGCCTTAATAAATTGTTGGGGCAAGTGCTGTTAGTGAGCACCTATGAAGACCGACACAGCACATGAGGGGGTGGGTGGCCAGCACCACGCCCGACCACCTTTGTCTCCCTAGTGGCAATGTTTATACACCGCACCAGATACTCATTTGAGGCTGAGTCCACCTAGGGGAGGCCCAGAACCAGTTGGGATAATCGCTACTGATGTTGGCCATGAGCGTGAATCGAACCTGCGTTGCCAGGTTCATAGCGCAGCACTCTAATCTCTACACTACTGCTCCCCATAAAAATATAATATTACTTCACAAACGCCTTGACCACAATCAACCATTCCTCTACTTGTGCAATAACAGCAATTTGATATTCCACTAAAGACTACTTTTCCAATACAAATAAAGTACATCTATGTCTCTGAAACATAATATCTTGAATGTAATTTCGAATAACATGTCCAAACGTATAAATTAAATCCATAACCATATGTAATCTGCGTGCCAAAATGCAATACAAATAAAGTACCTGGTTATCTTATCCCTTTCCCATTCCAAGACATCTGCAAGTTTCAGGGTGGGTCCCATTCACCGCTGAATATCAGAATGTGCAAGCAGTTCAGGGTTAATTTTATATGTACATGTATGTCATCAGAATGGGAAAGGGTTTAGTATGTTTGTCTCCATATACAGTGAGGTAAAAAAGTATTTGATCCCCTGCTGATTTTGTACGTTTGCCCACTGACAAAGAAATGATCAGTCTATAATTTTAATGGTAGGTTTATTTGAACAGTGAGAGACAGAATAACAACAACAAAGATCCAGAAAAATGCATATCAAAAATGTTATAAATTGATTTGCATTTTAATGAGGGAAATAAGTATTTGACCCCCTCTCAATCAGAAATATTTCTGGCTCCTAGGTGTCTTTTATACAGGTAACGAGCTGAGATTAGGAGCACACTCTTAAAGGGATTGCTCCTAATCTCAGCTTGTTACCTGTATAAAAGACACCTGTTCACAGAAGAAATCAATCAATCAGATTCCAAACTCTCCACCATAGCCAAGACCAAAGAGCTCTCCAAGGATGTCAGGGACAAGATTGTAGACCTACACAAGGCTGGAATGGGCTACAAGGCCATCGCCAAGCAACTTGGCGATAAGGTGACAACAGTTGGTGCGATTATTCGCAAATGGAAGAAACACAAAAGATCTGTCAATCTCCCTCGGCCTGGCGCTCCATGCAAGATCTCACCTCGTGGAGTTGTAATGATCATGAGAACTGTGAGGAATCAGCCCAGAACTACACGGGAGGATCTTGTCAATGATCTCAAGGCAGCTGGGACCATAGTAACCAAGAAAACAGTTGGTAACATACTACGCCGTGAAGGACTGAAATCCTGCAGCGCCCGCAAGGTCCCCCTTCTCAAGAAAGCACATATACATGCCCGTCTGAAGTTTGCCAATAAACATCTGAATGATTCAGAGGACAAATGGGTGAAAGTGTTGTGGTTAGATGAGACCAAAATGGAGCTCTTTGGCATCAACTTAACTCGCCGTGTTTGGAGGAGGAGGAATGCTGCCTATGACTCCAAGAGGCAAGAACACCATCCCCACCGTCAAACATGCAGGTGGAAACATTATGCTTTGGGGGTGTTTTTCTGCTAAGGGGACAGGACAACTTCACTGCATTAAAGGGACGATGGACGGGCCCATGTACCGTCAAATCTTGGGTGAGAACCTCCTTCCCTCAGCCAGGGCTTTAAAAATGGGTCGTGGATGGGTATTCCAGCATGACAATGACCGAAAACACACGGCCAAGGCAACAAAGGAGTGGCTCAAGAAGAAGCACATTAAGCTCCTGGAGTGGCCTAGCCAGTTTCCAGACCTTAATCCTTGAGAAAATCTATGGAGGGAGCTGAAGGTTCGAGTTGCCAAACGTCAGCCTCGAAACCTTAATGTCTTGGAGAAGATCTGCAAAGAGGAGTGGGACAAAATCCCTCCTGAGATGTGTGCAAACATGGTGGCCAACTACAAGAAACATCTGACCTCTGTGATTGCCAACAAGGGTTTTTCCAACAAGTACTAAGTCATGTTTTGCGGAGGGATCAAATACTTATTTCCCTCATTAAAATGCAAATCAATTTATAACATTTTTGACATGCGTTTTTCTGGATTTTGTTGTTGTTATTCTGTCTCTCACTGTTCAAATAAACCTACCATTAAAATTATAGACTGATCATTTCTTTGTCAGTGGGCAAACGTATAAAATCAGCAGGGGATCAAATACTTTTTTCCCTCACTGTATAAACGTTCTGCTTCATAATGTAAAATAGTAATTAACTCTCAAATGGCACAACACTTTTATATCTTGATAATTGGTTCTTTACCCTTATATCTGGCAACAAAACTGACACCTTTTTACAAGGAGTCATGTTTGTATCTTCTTGTAATTCTGTATTCGCCACTTCATTTCAAACTAAAGCTCTTATTCATTCTTACATTAACCTGGCGTCAGATTATCTTGTGAGAGGTTGCATAAGAAAAAAAAACTCTGAAAGAAGTGAGAATCAACCAAATGTGACCAATTATATTACAGACGCTTTCCAGAAATGTTTGTCGACGACTGTAATTAGCAATTTAATCTACTGCAGATAAAAAAAGAAAAACGTGGCCTGTCTTATGTCTCCTCATCTTGTAATGCTTTAAGAAGAAGGACATTGCACATTAGACAAGTTGTTTGCCAGGGCTATCGTGACACAGGCAAAAATCAGCAAACCGGGGCCACCCATCCCTGTGCCACAACAGAGCGTCTACCCCAGATCGGCATGTCAGCCATCTTCGGGACCCACAGATAAGACATTGATGGACTCCGAGGCATTGCCAAAGATGTAGAAGCCTGGGCTTGCAAAATATGGTTTTGTCGTTGATCCCCTGTGTGTGTGTGTTGTCATATATAACCAGGTACAGTGATGTCAAGTTACCACACGTTCCATGTGAACTAATCTTCTCAACTGCGATTTTGTTGTCGTTGTAGGGCGTGAACGGATACGATGGCTATGGTGTTTCCGGAGTTAGAGGACCTAAGGTCTCACAATTACCACCCAACACCTTCACCGTGTGCCGTTGCCATTTTACGAAGTTGGCAATCTGCCTTTCAGTGTGGTCGTATAGTATTATTTAATTGCATGTAGATAACAGTTTCAAGACCCCTTTCAACCTTTCTGGGGGGGGGGGGGGTGAAAAAACCTATGAAGAATGCTACCAGTATTGGCCGAAACATCCAAATGCTGGACAGTTACCTGCAAATTACTCAATTAGGATCACACACAGCAGCAGCAGCAACATCGCCCCCTATGGCTAAAACTTGGCAGGACTCTACTGAAAAAGGGTCTTGAGATTGAGTGAGGCTTTCCTGGGTTAACTTGCGAATAATAATAATATTGTAGTGAGTCCAACTGAGTCGCAGACGTTGTCTTGGTAGTAACACTATTTGTTACATCAACTCAACACAATATCACGTGACCTACACTTGGGTGTTGAACGCCCATCTAACCACGCTACGGCAGAACTAGACACGGTCCCGCTATCCCGGTCCGGACCACGAGCTGGGTCCCGGACCGCGTGGCTAGAGGCTTCTTGAACCCGACGTGGATCTTCTTCACCAACAACCCGAAAAATCCCGAGCCCCTCACAGGGCCCGCGTTATATCGGCCTGGGCTGGGGCTGGCTCCGCCCCTCGCCCCACCCACCTTCTAGATCTCTCCAGCTCTTTCCCGAAGGCTCCCGAGAGCTCCTTTATTCCACGTGACAGCCCAGCGGCCCCCGTCCACCGGTGGCCCCCCTACAATATCATCCGGTCATGTGTCGGTAGGTCAACCAGCGTATCATGCCCCAACGTAACCCTGGCTGGCTGACACTTTCTCTCGCTCCCTCACCGAGAGCCTGCACCGCACACTGTACATGGTGCCTCTGCGCTAACCAGCGCTCATCCAAGCCCCGCTAGGGCTGGTACTATGCCCAGTAAGCGGGCTGCACATAATGACAATATCCGCCATGGCCTCGCAAGCCCGGCACCACACAGTGACATTCACAGTCACTATCATAATACATAAATCGATGCAATGGCTATGCACGGCTTACCTTTTTATTGACACAGGCTACACCCGGTGTACCTCATAACCAGAGAGCGTCGCGTCTTTATTCTTGCAGGGGGACGTCGGTGAAATCGGATATCCAGGAGAAACGGTACGCTTACTCCCCACTCTTTTTCATAACATTGTATATGTTACCGTTATGACAATGTATCATTTTTTAAAGATAAATACATTTTTAACTTGTGCTAGGGTGAACCTGGGACTTCAGGGGACAAGGGTGAGAAGGGTTCAAAAGGCTTCAAAGGCAGAGCGGTACGTGTGCTTGATTGGAATACATTTCAGTTTTTTTGCATGCATTTAACCACATATAGTGCATATAATGTTACACCTATGCACATATCAACTGCTCGTTCATCAACGTTACATGGTTTAGCTGTAGATGCGCTCTTTCCATTCCCTACAATAGCCATCCACCGACCTCCTTGAATCTTCTACTACGAAACTATTTTCCTATTCAAATCGTTAAACTGTATTTCATTAGGGCATACAGAATAACAAACCCCTTATTACCCCTCTTGTCCATGCACATAGTGGAGCATTTTTCGATTTAAAGCTTTCGTGACTGCAGGGATTCATCTTCTTGTTTCTTTCGGTAAAGTCACGTAGAAGGGAAGTAATAAAATAATAAAAATAAAACATAATAAAACAATTCTCACGACGTTTCGGCTACAACGCAAGCAGCCGTCTTCAGGTGAAGAATGAGACACTACCAAACTAGGAGCTTATATATAAGCTGCATTGGGGGTTGAAGAGCGCCTTAACAAAAAGAATGTGCATGTGAAGAGGAATTTAGCATATTCATGGAAAATGCGTAGGCGTTGGGCGGGGGGGTGTCAAAGTCATATTATGCCCATGCATTATGCAGGATCAGCAGCAACCAAGGGGGGTGTAGGGATTAGCAGTAACAAAGGAAAGGAATGTTAATGATATGTAGCTGCAGTTACTCAACAACCACGTAGAAAACTAAAGTATAAACTACATAAAAAACTAAAGTATAAACTGCATCGCACCATCAGTATACTTACTATACTCTATAATAAGCTGAGTTACTAACAGCAAGTAATACATTACAATTCTACCTCGTAAAAATTCTATAATATGCTTCCATCTAAACCTTATTCTCTTACATCACACGAGCATATACCGTACTATATACTGCCATAGATAAACCCAACATTAAATTATATACTGTATTGCTGTAAACCAACCTATATCTTATACATTTAATATAACACTATGTATTATTCTACACACCCTAATGTGTATCGAAATGGTTTATTACGTCCTTCCAATGATTGCTGAGCCAGAATCCATCTCGGTTAAAATTGTCTCTGTGTTTGTATATGCAAACACAGAGACAATTTTAACCGAGAAGATGGATTCTGGCTCAGCAATCATTGGAAGGACGTAATAAACCATTTCGATACACATTAGGGTGTGTAGAATAATACATAGTGTTATATTAAATGTATAAGATATAGGTTGGTTTACAGCAATACAGTATATAATTTAATGTTGGGTTTATCTATGGCAGTATATAGTACGGTATATGCTCGTGTGATGTAAGAGAATAAGGTTTAGATGGAAGCATATTATAGAATTTTTACGAGGTAGAATTGTAATGTATTACTTGCTGTTAGTAACTCAGCTTATTATAGAGTATAGTAAGTATACTGATGGTGCGATGCAGTTTATACTTTAGTTTTTTATGTAGTTTATACTTTAGTTTTCTACGTGGTTGTTGAGTAACTGCAGCTACATATCATTAACATTCCTTTCCTTTGTTACTGCTAATCCCTACACCCCCCTTGGTTGCTGCTGATCCTGCATAATGCATGGGCATAATATGACTTTGACACCCCCCCGCCCAACGCCTACGCATTTTCCATGAATATGCTAAATTCCTCTTCACATGCACATTCTTTTTGTTAAGGCGCTCTTCAACCCCCAATGCAGCTTATATATAAGCTCCTAGTTTGGTAGTGTCTCATTCTTCACCTGAAGACGGCTGCTTGCGTTGTAGCCGAAACGTCGTGAGAATTGTTTTATTATGTTTTATTTTTATTATTTTATTACTTCCCTTCTACGTGACTTTACCGAAAGAAACAAGAAGATAGTGGAGCATGTATTTATGGTTCTTGTCAGAAAGTACTGTTTTGGATTCGTAAAGGCAGGTACTACTGATCCCAAGTGATCACTTCGTTTTGTACTTAATGTATAATTGGATGCAATGTACTTGTTCTTCGATGCTGGTTGAAGTGGAAGATTAGGCTCTGAGAGGGCCTCTCTAGGGCTGACTGGAGTGGAGACCCCCTCTAGAGAGACTCTAGAGTGGAGACCCCCTCTAGAGTGGAGACCCCCTCTAGAGAGACTCTAGGGTGGAGACCCCCTCTAGAGTGGAGACCCCCTCTAGAGAGACTAGAGTGGAGACCCCCTCTAGAGAGACTAGAGTGGAGACCCCCTCTAGAGAGACTCTAGAGTGGAGACCCCCTCTAGAGAGACTAGAGTGGAGACCCCCTCTAGAGAGACTCTAGAGTGGAGACCCCCTCTAGAGTGGAGGCCCCCTCTAGAGAGACTAGAGTGGAGACCCCCTCTAGAGAGACTAGAGTGGCGACCCCCTCTAGAGAGACTCGAGAGTGGAGACCCCCTCTAGAGTGGAGACCCCCTCTAGAGAGACTAGAGTGGAGACCCCCTTTAGAGAGACTAGAGTGGAGACCCCCTCTAGAGAGACTCTAGAGTGGAGACCCCCTCTAGAGACTCTAGAGTGGAGACCAGCAATGGCTTGAGCACAACGTCAAGGCTGTTCCTTTATCTTGTCTGCTAAATAATGTGAAGCAGTTCATTTGGCTAACTGGAAGTATTCTAATAATCTTATCGAAGATGTTTTATATTGTATTCATTAAGTTTACTCAAAGTGTTTGTAGGCTTGAAGAGCATCGCATCACACAGTCTGTATGGTACTGGATGGCCTCTGATGGTGTTTGTTCACGTTTGTTCATGAGCCACAGTTGACGGGCGTTTTGCGTTTGTGTTGCAGAGTGATGTGGGTCCGCCTGGCTCTGCAGGGACTCCAGGGAACCTTGGACCCCCTGGGTCTCCAGTACGTCGTGGTGTCTATGGCTCTTAAACATTCTCATAAAAGTTATATTCCAATGGTCTCATTTATTTATAATTTAATTGTCCGGCTGGGATACGATTGCATTCCAATAATAATTTGTTGTTGCTGTCTGATAAAAAAAACTAAATATTTTGTGTCAAATTTTTACCGTTTCATTTGTATTTCTTTTGTTTATACATCTCATTGTGCAAATGTTGCACCATTATTATACATGTTTCATGAGCATAGTATTTGCATATAATTATGAAAATGCATGTGTAATTGATTTTCACAAGCGTGAATAGCTGACTGTATTTTGAGTGTTATAATTGCCTCATCGATGTAAGATGTGTTTTGCTTGTTTATTTAAGGGACCCCAAGGGACAAATGTACCTCCTAAATTGGTGAGATGGTAGAATAAGACTCAAACACTACATTACATGCACCTCCGCATAGCACAGTTGGCTACGTACAGTGCGAAAGACGTTCACCATACATACAGCTCTTCATTTGTATATTTGTCAAGCACTGTTTTTTATAAAAATTTTGTATGTAATTTTAAAGCCGTTTGGAACTGGCACTTGTTTCATAATAATCATCATCAACGGTCACATCTCGAGCAGGAGGACGTTTCAGGGAACTAGAGCGAGTGGTGGCGAGATGTTATCTACCTTGCTTGGTATACAGGAGGTCGTGGGTTCAATCCCGCACCTGCCGCCTGTATATTTTGAGTTTGCATGTTCTGCCGTGGTCGTGTGGATTTTTGTTCTCAGGGTCCTCCAGTTTTCCCCTCCACATTTAGAACGAACTTCACGCGTTCAGAGTATTTGGCTGCTGTACATTTTCACGTGATAAGCCCACTTTTGTTGAGCTATCATTTGTGATCGCCAGGCCACGTCTGAAAAAGAGCTACGTAGCTCCATTGGGTCCTTACCTGATCAAATAGAAAAAAAAGTTGAGTAAATAGTAAAAAAAAGTGAAGAGATAGTGACACCAGCGTTTGGCATCACACCACTCTTGCAGAGTCCCTCAGCCCGGCTCGCCCTGCGTTGATGTTGCCGCTGGGGTCTGGCCCATTTCGGCCGCACTCAATCGGCGCGTGTGTTTTGAACTTAAAGTGGGGCAGAGGTCGCTCGGTGGGCAGTTGACACCGCCAGAAGTTACCACCAAAGCCATCACTCAAAAAAACTGGACCAGGATCTCAGGTGTCTCTGATTTGGGGTTTTAATTTCTGACGAAATATTTCAATAAAGCGCATCTTCCGAAACACATTCAACAGTTAAAAAGAGTAGAATGGCTTTTGTGTTGCATTACTCAACTATGTGAGTGTCTCACAATACACTTGCACGTACAGTTGTAAATTATTGTAGAGTAATAGACTATCTTATTATGGATTTTTAATGCATCACATTATTTGTTTCAATTGCAGAATTGCGAAATATTGAAACAAATCAGAGAAAACTGCCGTGAGTAGTTTTCATGAACGCATTCAGATGTTTTATTGATGTGAGTTTGAGGTGTTTTTGCATCACATGTGAAATGAAGGCATTACTAACACATTGGTTTACTTGTTTTACAGCTTGTTGTAAAGGTAAGATTTTTTTATTTTTATTAAATGAACTAGCTTTACAAATTCTTGGGTCTTTCGGTAAAGTCACGTAGATAGGTTCACGTGACTTTACTGAAAGACCTAAGATTCAAGAATATTAATTCCTGCAGTCACGAAAGTTTAAGTCAAGATTTAGCTTTACAAATTATATAATACTAGCGGGAAGTACCCAGCGTTGCCCGGGCAAAAAAGACACACAAACACATCGACTTACACAACAGCAACAACAACCACACCATTGGTACCTCATTTGCCAGTAAAAAAATATGATAATTGGTTTTTTACCCTTTTATCTGGCCACTAAGTGGCAGTGACGTCACCACGGCGCTTGTGCCAGGCTATGTGCACCTTGAGGCCACATGAAGTGTCGAACGCCCACTTGCAGGAGGTCACGGGGCAGACCCAGGTGCCACGGGTCGACTAACTGAGATGACTGGCTGATGCACCACCTGTGCCCCCTACTGTGCCAACTTGCTGTGCTTTAGCCACCCGGCGCTCCGCTCGTTGTTGTGAGTGTTGCTGTTCCGCTCTCCATTGTTGTTGGAGGGCGACTGCCTCCAACTGCCCAGCAGCATTTTTCACGAGCCTCCTCCACAGAGGCCGATCTTGACACCGCTGGTACCAGTCATCAGCAAGTCCACTCAGCTCCACATCCTCCTGTACCACATCACTCCATCTCTTCTCTAGACCGTGCCACCGGCCGCACAAAAGCTGTTTCGGCATGCGGTGACTGGGCATGCGGGCTACATGACCCAGCCAACGCAGCCTTGCCTGCCGGAGGAGCTCACCGATGGGACTTTGCCCAGATCTTTCAAGGATTTGTGAGCATCTCACACAATCCAGCCTAGTTAAACCCAGGATGGATTGTCGGCAGGCCAGCCTAAATGTTTCTAACCAGCGAAGATGCTCCATTAGGGGGGTCCACGTTTCGCAAGTGTAGAGAATGTAGGGAATGACCGTGGCCAAGAAGACTTGAAGCTTCGTGCGGAGCGACAGACCAGGTAGCTTCCACACAGCGTTACACAACCGTTGAAAACATAATGCCGCTGGACTGATTCTGAGTGAGACCTCTGCTGTCAAACTGGAGCTGGTCATGAGCACACTGCCCAGGTATGGGAAACTCTCCACTCTCTCCACAACTGCTTCATCACCGAGACAGGTGCTTAGTTTTGGTGGGGCTGATAGTAAGGCCCCACCTTCTTAGTGGCACGCTCCAGTTTCAGCAGCAGCGCCTCCAACTCCTCCTCTGAGTGAGCGGCAATTAACAGATCATTGGCATACATAACGTGGTTGACCAATAGGGAGCCATCCCTTGACTGCACCCAGGCATCGATCAGCCTCCCATTGTATCTGTACCAGATGGAAATTCCTCTGGTACAGCCATCAAAGGCTTCACGAACTACGTGGTCGAAAAAGATGTTAAATAATGTGGGAGCCAGAGGACATCCCTGCTGCACCCCAAGTTGAACAGGGAATGGCTCCAACGCCCGGCCACGTAGTTTTACCCGGGCCCGCTCACCATCATGAAGGTCCTTAATGATTGTGAGCAGAGGGTCAGGGACTTCGAAAGCATGAAGAACAACCCAGAGCCTAGGCCTACTGATGGTAGCATAGGCCTTGACCAGGTTAATAAAGCAGAGATGTAGGTCTTGTTAGAATTCCCTACACCTCTGCTGTAGCAAACGGACAGAAAATTTGGCATGTGCAGTACCCCCTTTCCTGAATCCACATTGAGGCTCCAAAAGCCTATCCTCAGCGTGCCTGGCAAGGCGATGTTGAATAATCCTTGCCAGGAACTTTCCCGGCACACTGAGGAGTGAGATGCCCCTGTAGTTACATTCTATGCGGTCCCCCTTCTTAAAGAGGGGGACCACAAGGGCATCCTTCCAATCCTGCGGAACCCATCCAGTGGTCCAGACTGTTGTTATGATGTCATGTAGGGCAGTCTGTGCACAAACGCCACCCTTCCTCAGCATTTCTCTTGGGAGATCATCTCTGCCCGGTGCCTTTCCTGGTCTCAGACTCTGGATCGCCTTAGTACTTCCTCAACAGATGGCACCTCAGCCAGCCACTCACAGGGGGTGACTTCTTCCAATATTTGAGGCACCGCAGCCTCAGCAGGGTCATCCTCACTTTGCCCCACAATGTTTTCCATGTCGAGGGATTTCCCCTCCCCCAGGACTTCACAGAAATACTCAGCAAATCTGCAAACTTGTTCCTGGGGGTCGGAGATTGGATTACCGTTTTTTTCCCTCATGATGGTAATAGGTGTGGTGCTGCAGGTTACTTTTTTGATGGAGTTAAATAGGGATTTGTGATCGCGCGCCATTGAGGCAGACTCCATCTCCTCAGCAACCCGCGACCACCACCCATCCTTGCAGCGCCTCACGGCTCTCCGAACCTCCGAGCGAAGGTTGCGGTAAGCCTCCTCATTCTCTGCCGTGGGATGCTGTAGACAATTAGAGTGGGCCTGTCGCTTTTTCTCAGCCATCCTGCACACCTCCTCTATCAGTCAGGGTCTCTGGGGAGGTCTGTACCGCGTACCCAAAGCAGCCATTGCAGCTGCCTGGTGTGGACCAATCAATTTCAAGGACAATGCATACATTATCAGAGTGCTGTTTTTTGTTTGCATTTTGACCACAGGTATTGTGGTTAATGCAAACATGATCCCTTGTAAAGGTGTCAGTTTTGTGCAGGATAAAAGGGTAAAAAACCTATTATTATATTTTGCCACTGGCAAAAGAGGTTTCATTATGTAAATGCTTATCCCGAGCTCTCAATACTCTGATGCTGCGTTGTCTTTGAGTTGTGCGCCTTTTGGCGTCATCTGGTCGAACACCATATGAGACTGGGCTCAAAAAAAGCTGTCTCTGGTTTGGACTAATCAATTTCAAGGACAATGCATATATTATCAGTGCTGTTTTTGTTTGCATTTTGTGGTTAATGCAAACATGATCCCTTGTAAAAAGGTGTCAGTTTTGTGCCAGATAAAAGGATAAAAAACTATTATTAAGTACTAGGCTATTGTGAAAGCCCAGCGTTACATTTGTCCGTCCATTTTTACATCAACAAAATTATAAGAGGCTTGAAGAATTCCTAAATCCAAAAGTAATATAAAGTAGCGGGTAAATAGTTGGTTTCCTAAAATTGTCGACCTCCCCCCCACAAAACATTTTTTTACCCCCCATAGGCATATATACCTACACACCCTACATACAATAGATGAGTAGTATCTAGTAACTCTATAGTAGTATCTGACTCTACAGTAGTATCTGGCTCTACTGTAGTATCTAGTGACTGTATAGTAGTATCTATTGACCCTACAGTAGTATCTACTGACTCTATAGTCGTATCTACGGACTCTATAGTAGTATCTGCTCACTCTATAGTAGTATCTTTCGACTTTATAGTAGTAAATACTGCCTCTACAGTAGTAACTACTAACTTACTTTTTGGTTCTTTCGGTAAAGTCACGTAGAACGAAAATAAATGAAATAATAGAATACGACGTTTTGATTGCAACACAAGCAATCGTCATCAGGTAAGAATGATTGATTACGTTCTTCCAAAGATTGCTAAATTTGAGAGAGAGAGACAAAACACAGACACGGAGACACAGACACACAAGCAGAGAGAGACAACACAGAGACACAGAAAGATACACAAATAGGCACACAGAGAAACAACGCTTCTGTGTCGAGGCCTTAAATATGTAATGCGGGCGCGGGCGACCTCCCGGATGTGACGTCACGGAGAGGTGGAGTTATGTGACGTGGGAGCAAGGTTAAGGATCTTAAGGGATGAGACCGGAAGAAGAGGGGAGAGAGTGAGAGACTGGACAAGAGTAAGGCCACGTTGGGCGAAGCCAGGAAGAGTGGCACCGGCGGCCAGCGGTGGCCAGCTAAGGGAGCAGCCAGCGGAGCTGCGAGAGAAGACAGCAGTAGGGCTGCTGGAGTGAGGGCGGTTGAAGAGCTGCGGTGAACACAGCCGGCGAGGTTGTGTGTGAGAGGCTACGAGAGCGACGAGAAGAGAAACTGCAGCGAGTGCAGCCAGTGGGGGCTGCGTGAGGGTAACAGCGGCGAGGCTGCTGGAAGGTTACGAGAACAACGGGAGACCAACAGAGGAGCTGTTGGCGTGACGGGGTTAACAGCAGTATCAGTATCAGTGCGGAAGCCTTATAGAAGGACAGCCGTGTGGGTTACGAGGAAGAACCGAATAAAGGACACCAAGCCAGACTTCGTGGTCGAGTCCTTTATTACATTGGTGTCGGAAGTGCAACGGCATGTCGAAACAAGTGAGAAAGAAAAATGTTCCAGCACCAGCATCGGCTTCTTCATCCGAAGACGACGACTTCGAGAGAGGAGGTGGCATGAGGCAGAAAGAGAGGGTGGGGGGGGTCGATAGATTAGCATGTCAATAAGAGAGTTGCGTGGAAATCTACCCCGTAGCGGCTGGGGGAGAGAAAGAGCAAATGGACCTAAAGACAAACAACCCTGGCAAATTTTTGAGAGAGAAATAGGAAGTTTGAGAAAACAAACTTAGTCAAATTTGGAAATGTAATGCAATGCAACACAGAGTCGGTTAACACACAGCCTGGTTGATTACATTCTTCCAAAGATTGCTAAATTGGAAGTTAAGTGTGAAATTTGAGAGAGAGACAAAACACAGACACGGAGACACATAGACAGATACACAAGTAGAGAGAGAGAGTGAGCGAGAGAGTGAGCGGGGGGGGGGGGTTACATAAAGCAAAGTTATTTTAAAAAACATTAAAAATAAAATAGAATACGAAATGATGAACGAAGCCAAGTGCCGACTACACCGAGCATCTTCTTGTTTCCACTGATCGTAAAAAAA